CAGAACGGAAATATTCTCCTAAACACTGCAGAAGATGACCAAACTAGCATGGCAATGCAAAAACCTAAATAGAAATAATCATAATTTTCTCTGAAATACTAATGACAGTAGTGAGCATTTTAAACAGCTTTTTGCTTAAAACATAAAAATTTGACTTTGATATGGATTCAATAAAACACTGGCAATGACAGAAACACAGCAGTCTATATGCAAGATGGGGCAAATAGGTGCAATCTTGCTTTGACAACTTCAGTAACCTCAACTTTGCCAGTAATGCTGAGGGAAACAAAACTGGTAAAATTGCAGGGTGTAATTTGCAGAGAGCTTATTTTAGCATATGTACTTCTTTGAACTCGGGTTTAAAACAATCTTTTATTGTTATATATTTTTAAGGTCCATCTTAAACAGCATTCTGGTTACCTCTATAAAAATCCAGAGGTCCCTGTTTTTGTGGGTTTATGTTAATCAGGCTTTGTTTTAGAAGCACAACATTCTGAAGTTAGATTGAAAATCAAACAATTATGCCTGTCTTTTCTGGGAAGTTCTTTTTCTAGTGGATTATAACTGTAGAAGATAATGGAAGTATTTGTAGAAAGGTATTAGGCACCAAAACTTTCAGAAAAGCTGCTTTCTGAGATGCAGAACCCTTTGTCTGTTAATCCAGTGAAGATCTTTATATTCCTGCAAAAAGCTGGACATAATGTGGTTCCTGTTGCAGAAATGCTGGTAGTTGGGTTCCAACTTGGGAGATTGTTCGGTCCTTTGAAAGCTGCTGCTATGTCCTCATTCTGTGAGAGCACAGGATTGCTGTCACTTGACTCTGGGAACTGTTCTACCAGAGTGCCACAAAATTGTCAGATAAATCAGCACCAAAAAGCTGAGGCTCCTTAATATGCTGTAAGTTATATCTAGCATGTTTGGAGATCCTCACCTAACTGCAGAAGATGAAGAACATCCTTGTTGCAATCTAAGTGGTTATGGCTTCTAAAGAGTTTACCTGCTGCTTGAAGTCCTATTCAATTTTCTGGGAAGAGGGAATTCACAGAACTCTTGAGAATAATTTTCTACCTCAGGTATGGTTAGAGGAAGGCTACAGGGTGCTCTTGCAGTAGCAGACAGTAGCATGGCAGTGAAGTGCAGCTTTTGGAGGTTAGCTGGTGCAAGACAAAGGTAGGAGAGGAATATCTGCCTAGGGTATTTGTTTTGCTGTGAGCATGCACAGAGCTCTGCCTTGGTTTGAGTGAGGAGCCAGTTGACAGCTTATTAGTCAGAATTAACAGGACCACCCATGTGGGAGGCATTGTGGTAAGTGTCTGTTATAGACCATCTGATCAGGAAGAAAAGGTCTTCTTCAGACAACCAGAAGAAGCCTCACTTTCACAGGCCCATGTCTTCATGGTGGGGCTTCAACCACATCAGTATCTGCTGGAGGGACAGAACAGGAGAGCAAAAAGAATTCAGGAGGATTTTGGAACGCATTCATGGTAACGTCCCAGAGCAGGTGGTTGAGGAACTGAAGAGAGGACATGTTGCACTGGACCTCAAACTTACAAACAGTGAGGAACTGGTTGGAGATGTGAAGGTGAGGGGAAAGGCTTGGGTATAGTGACCATGAGATGGTGGAGCTGAGGATCCCGAGACAAGAAGCAATAAAAAAACTGGGATCACAGCTCTTGACTTCGAGGTAGACAACTGCAGCCTATTCAGGCTAAAATCTACTTGAAAGAATCCCATGGTATGGGATATAGTCCTGGAATGAGGAGAGGTCTAGGAGAGCTCAGGGTTGATCTATCTTCACTTGTGGGAATTTATATTATCATTAATCTTCGTATTAAGATTGCCAAGGAAGAAATGCTTTCTTAATTATGTTTTCTTAATTATGTTTTGAATACGCAGCAGACAGAATCTAGTCAGGAAGCAGAAACTCATCATTGTGCAACTGTGACTTTCAGACTTCTTTATTCAGCAATTCCTTATGCAGGTGGCTACCATCAGACCCCACACTTGCTATTGAGAAGGCTCAATGCTGCTCCCTGTGACAGCCTCTCCAGATATCTTACGGAAAGTGGATTGTTTGTTGCTGAATGGTTCCTAATCTTTGACCCTCTCCATGCTAGTTTAAATATTTGGCTTTCATCTTATACTGCTATGCTTATGTAGGACAATACCACTTATTTTAGGACCATACCACTTTGGCATTGCTTTTCTTCAGGCCATGCTTTGTTTCTTTTGCCTCCTGGGTAATAATAAATCACCTGGCAACAATCCTCATTGCTAGTGTAAGGAAAAGGTATTTCACAAGATAGTGTTTTGGGGAGTGTTTTCCTAGAAGGTACAGGTAACTTGCTACCTTGGCATATTTGAGAACGGGTGGAAGAACCTGGGTAGATGCCAGCATTTAAATATAGGTAAAAGAAGTTGTGCACTTAGATGAATATGGATGCATGTGGGAGCACAGGTGGTGGATAGCATGATGAGAAAGCCTCTACAAAAGCAGAGACACTGGATTTAAACAGATAAAACTCCCTAGATTTCCATGTCTGGCATTCCAGGGGTTGTGTCATGTGAGTGCAACTTTTTAATTAGGGGCAGCTAGACCTCAATCACCTTGTCGGGGTATCAGTGTTGTTAGCTAGAGAGTGAGTTTAGTACACGTTTATCTTCCTGTAGTTCTTGAAGAGTTCATAGGCTGGTCAAGCAGCTGCTATGTGTTCTCTGAACACGTGTTTTGACTAGTGTAATGTCTATTATCTTTAAGCCTTTAATTCAATATAAGTCTTCCAGGAGCTGGGTTTTAAAAATTAGCAACTGCCATATTCTGATTGGGCTGTTAAGAGTTGTCTAATACAGTTTAAGTTGGAAGTCAGATTAGTAGCAACCTTGTTTAGGTGATCAGGCCTTGGAATAAAGGTGTACTGTTCACTGCAAACACGAAATATGATCTTCCCTAAGAAAAGAGCACAGAAATATACAGTGTCACTTAAAATGCACAGAGGTGCATGCTAACCTTTTTGCACTGATTGTTTGAGGGAGACTGTGGTAGCTTTAAAACTGTATCATATCTGCTTTTTGTTTGATCTTCTCTTTCTCAGGGTAAACAGAATAGCTTCAGACCTCTCCAGGCTCCATAGCTGACAGCAAGCACGGTTCCTGTTTAATGGATTGTTTAGAGCTTAATTTTCCCCCTGTTCTTTAGGGAATTGATGTCTCTGAGAAAATAATTGCATGCTTGAGAACAGAAACTTTATTGCTGTGGTCCAACAACCTGAATACAATTGTGACACTATATGAGAAACTTCAAGCAAATAGCCCATTCAGAAACCTTACGTAACTATGGCAGGTTTGAGTTTCCAGCAGGTTTGAGTTTGCCTTTTTGATTATCATCTGATGTGAGAGCAGGCTTAGAGTTTCAAGTTCACAAACCTATTCAGAGCAGCTCTTTTATTAGCTTGAACAGTATCTGCAGAGTTCTCGTCATCTTTGGCTTCACTAAAAGAAACTACTTAAACTTAACCAACAAGCAGGGATTCTGGAACTATGAGAAGAGTATCATTTTGTTTTGATAAGGCAGCCTAATACTTCAGGCTCTATCTGGAGTTATTAAATGACCCTGTTTATCTCTTCTGCATCACAGAACCTTTAGTACTGTTCCATGAAACTTATTTTTTAAGACTTCAAACTACTTTTAACCCTTTTAAACTACTTAAACTTAACCAACAAGCAGGGATTCTGGAACTATGAGAAGAGTATCATTTTGTTTTGATAAGGCAGCCTAATACTTCAGGCTCTATCTGGAGTTATTAAATGACCCTGTTTATCTCTTCTGCATCACAGAACCTTTAGTACTGTTCCATGAAACTTATTTTTTAAGACTTCAAACTACTTTTAACCCTTTTATTAAAACTTT